GCCTGTCTGAACCTGCAAACCTGTGAGTTTGTTCCTGTTAATCTGTAAACCTGAACCTGACCTGCTCTGTCTTCTCTGCCTCCCAGGAGGGAGACCTGTGTTGCCAATAAATATTGGACTTTAATCCTGCCTCTGTGTCCGTGAGTTCTGCATTTGGGCTAGCAAACCTCCCACATCATAACAAAAATATGTTGCCAATAAATAGAACACTGGAATTATATCCCAGACTTTGACAAATTACACTTCAGCTGGCAAAGCCCCATTTCAATTACTGTCTTACTTTTCCTGATAACATTTTTCATGACAATTTCAATTGCTGATAAAGAAAAAGGAAAATTATTATTATTTTGAGCTCTAATCAAAACCAATTACCTAACATTTTTGTTTTAGCTGGAAAGAGAAAATATCAACAACATTCACAACAATGGAAAAATAGACTATCATGAAAAAACTATACTACAGCATGCAGAGATGCTTATAACCTTGTAACAGGTTAAGACTGACTGTAATAAAACTAAATATCCATATTTCTGGTCAGTGAGCTAAAGAACAAGTGCCTGCAGGAGAAGAACACCATGCATGGCCATGCAGATTTTATGTAAAATAGCTCCAACTGGGATTTGAATCCAGGAACAGTTTTTGCAAGGCAAAAGTTCTAACAAAGGGTCTGCTGTGTACAAGGAAACATTGCCTCTAAAGTTGTGAAACTGCTAGGATGATTCAGTGCATTACAGAAACATCAGGTGAAAGGAGCTGAGGCAAGAAATATAAAATAGACAATTCAAAAGTAAGACATCATCAGTTTACAGCTGTATAGCCAGTAAAGCAAAAGTATGGACAACAAAATGACTGCTTCTGGTAAGTGTATGTATTACTTTAATTATGTGGTCAAACAAAATTAAAGAGATCATTTTTAACAAGAGAATAATTTCATGTCAGTAAAACTTGTGAAATATTGATCTATTGAGTAAAGTTGTGGATGGAAATTGCTAATCAATGTCATAGTGAAGCATTCAACCATGTAATCCAGTTAAAGCAGTAGGGGTGTAAATAATAATCGTTTTGTATCGATGCGTCGATCCAACAGCCGACGATCCGATACATCGACACGTCCGCAAGAGAATCGAATCATGTTTTTTTTTTCCTCCGGTCTATTTTAATCCATTTGCTCCTGGGCGTAGTTCTCCCTCCCGTGCTGCGGTGGCGCTAAACCTATTTTGCCCTCCTACCTAGCTTCCTGGTTATACTCTTACAGCAGTGTGTTGCAGTGAGCTTGACACAGACTTATTTATTTCATTTATTTCAAACTTGAAACTTTGTTTAGCCTGTAAGGTGAAAAAAAAAAAAATAATAAAAAAAAACTTAACCGATTAATCTATTAATCAAACCGAATTGAATCGAATCGTGGTGTATTCTTGAGTGTCGAAAATAATCGAATCGTTGGGTCAGGAAATCGATACTGAATCGAATCGCCATGATGGGTGTGATTTACACCCCTATAATGCAGACAGATGTTAATTCACTCTGTCAGCAATTTCTTATCTTTCTTTGCAATGAGAGAACCAGACAAATAATAGTAACCCTTCGAATTTATTGTTTTTGCCCTGTTCTTATTAAAAAAATGTTCCTCTCATTAACTCAAACCCTTTTGAAATGCTGTGAAGGTGTCCACATATAAAATATTGTATGTATTTATGTTGTAATAAAAAAAAATACAGTTAAGGAAAACAATAAAATGTGATGAATAAACTCCGACAAAGAGTCTAGGTTTTAATTATCTCCCATTCTTCCATGATGATAATTCTCTTGATAAGGGATGTAATTGTTGAAAATGGAAATATAACATTATTATTATCTTTATCTTTAATCATTATAATCAAGTAACTTTTTCTTTGTCCTTGAAAGAGAAAATGTCAACGTTATGCACATCAATTGAAAAATACTCTTTCATGTGTATACTGCTGCTGCACAATGGAATATCCTGTAGTACAGACTACTGTAGTCTAAAAAAAATCCCTAATATCTTGAACTCTAGTTGGTTTTGGCCAGAGGGCCACATTACTCACTGTAGCCAATTTAACAACTTTTTACCACACACCTACCAGCAATGATACTCAACTCTCTGATCTCTATGCTAAAAAAAGTGACCAACACAGAATTCAGTGATCCTGAAACTCTAGCTCTAGCACTAGTCTTACAGGGACAGTGTTAATAGATTTTAAAGTGCCATATTCCAAACTTAATTAAACTAACAATTTTGTTTTTGTTTTTTTGTTTTTTATTTTAGTTGTATTTGGTATTAAATTAGCCCACTTGGCTATATATGTCACGTTTTGGTTGTGGTTTAGAGGACCCAAAATGCAGAGGCATATAGGCTGAGGTGATTTCTTGTAGTTTTAATGAAGAAAGCAGTTAACAAAGGAAGGAATCCAACTGAAAATGTAACACAGACCAGAACCGTGGAGACATCGGGGGAAACACGCACAAGGACACAAGGAGAGACGAGGGCAGCAGATAACAGCGATGACAGGACCAGCAACAACAAGGAACCAACAAGCAGTGACTGCAGAGGGAGAGTATATGTAGCTGACTGAGACAATGGCAGGGCTAACGAGCTGACAAGGAGCAGGGGTGAGAGGAGACAACGAGGGAGCCAAGGGGAAAGGAACACACACACACAAGAAGGCAAAAGAGGAAAACAACAGAAAAACCTGAGAACCAACATAAATATAGAAACTACAACAAAATAGGAAATAACCAATAAAACTAGGAAACATGGAGCAAAGTAAAGCACAACATAACCAAAACCACGACAATATATACAGTATTTGAATACATTTTACTTTGCCTACCCTCATTACTTAATTACTTCAGTACTGTGGTTTTGTTATTCTTTTTAACTGTTTGGTTTATGCAAGATAAACAAGAGGAGCAAAATTTGGTCAAAGCAGTGGACATAGCAGTAATTTACACAGAGTTTCACTGATAGAAGGGAGGCTGTCTCGACTTGTGGTAAATGCTTAGATCAACACAGTCACTGGAAATGAAAGAGCTGCACCAATGCCTCAAAACATCAAACTGCCCCCAAGCACCTTTAGCTCAGCCACCTGGAACTGCCTTGGCGCTGAGCGGAAATCTTACCAGACATCTGATAGGATGGACCCCTCATGGAGATAATACATTGTGGCCAACAAAAAGCTTGAACATCCCCTCATCAACATCAGTACTAAAAAAGGACAACAAGCAGCTACAGCCCACAGTATTTAACCTTCTCTGTGTCATGATGGGTTCACAAGAGAGACCCAAGTATGCAGAACCCA